TTTCTTTTCGAAAAGTTTGGGGGAAAACGCACTAAAAAGTGTTCCTAAGCCGTGAAAGTACAGAAAATATGATACCAGGGGCGTACGCCTCGTATATTTGATAGATAGAATTTAATACATAAAACAGTTTTAACTGTAACCAGGCATAGGTCCTGACTTTAAAAGAAGATAGTTTTTGCCGCAATTCACAAAAACAGATTCGTGAGATTACAATCACACCTTGTTTCATCTAGAGCGTTCTGCCAATATATGCTAGTTATATTATTACATAACAGTTTTATCCTATCAAGAAATTAGTGTACAGGAAAACACCGACACACAATTTTATGTATTATAGTCTATTTAGCATATCTATATTAATTTTAATGTGCATTTATATATAACCAGAGTCATTATCGACTAGTCGGTACACTACTTTGTATTAGGGAATTTCTGGTTTAGAATTACCACTCAGTGACTTGGCTGTCTGAACTGAGGGCGTTCGTAATTTTCGTCATTAATTTAGACAAAAGCGCGGATAAAATAACGCTTAAATAAATCACAACTTCTTCATATCACATTCTTTCATCACGCATAACCGTTTAGCCAATCAATACCAAATAACCTATGCACTTGAAATATCGCCGTTAAATAACTCAAGAGCCAATCAGTTTATACTAATTAAAACACTTTAAATTGTACGATGTAGAAACATTTGGTTGTGTGACAATTATGGTCATTCTCCTACAGAATCCTAAAATGAATAAATTTTATTCTCCTGAAAAATCTAAGTTAAGAACAAAGAAATTCATTCACATTTAAAATCTTAAACACACTAGAAAGGTACCTGAGCAATCCTGTAAGTAAAAACTAGGCTCATCATCATAAAGAGTTAACATAATCGAAAAACAAAATATTTGTATCTGTCTGCCCGCACTATCGTAACCACGTAATATATAGTTCAAATTTACTGAAAATCAGAAAATCCGAAGCACGTAACCAACAGATTGAAAGTAACTTTTATGGAGTTGCTCTAGAGAGAGCGATTAATATTTAATTTCGGCCTACAAACAAGTATATGTCATGTATCCGTGTACAAAATATCCTGGAAGTGTAAGTTTTAAGGTTTCACTTTAAACACATTTGCCTTTTACAGAAATATAAATTCAATCTCGCAGCTTTTGCTACGTGTAACATCACCGCTTCCTTGATAATCAGTGATGGAAGAGGAAAATACATCAAGTGAAGAGTTGGTTCTGGATTCTGTTAGGGGATTTAGCTCAGTTTGTTACGCACAACAGTCGAGGTCCGCTTGCGAACCACGAGCTACTAACAACCTCTGTAACGGAGTATCGCATTACACGAAGAAGCGTGAAACGAGAGATGCAGCGTAAAAGGACTGACGTTAGAGTCAGTCAGAAAACCTCTTTTAGGGTGAAGTTGAGGAAGGCAGAATGAAGGGTGCCTACTTGCTTTCGAATTGCCCCGGTATAGCTCACTATTCTGGATGGATAGATAGATAGATACTCGGAAACCGATAAAGAAAATGGGAACTTCTCACCACTACTAACGTACATTACATTCAAACTGGCACACCTTGTTTCATCTAGAGCGTTCTGCCAATATATGCTAGTTATATTATTACATAACAGTTTTATCCTATCAAGAAATTAGTGTACAGGAAAACACCGACACACAATTTTATGTATTATAGTCTATTTAGCATATCTATATTAATTTTAATGTGCATTTATATATAACCAGAGTCATTATCGACTAGTCGGTACACTACTTTGTATTAGGGAATTTCTGGTTTAGAATTACCACTCAGTGACTTGGCTGTCTGAACTGAGGGCGTTCGTAATTTTCGTCATTAATTTAGACAAAAGCGCGGATAAAATAACGCTTAAATAAATCACAACTTCTTCATATCACATTCTTTCATCACGCATAACCGTTTAGCCAATCAATACCAAATAACCTATGCACTTGAAATATCGCCGTTAAATAACTCAAGAGCCAATCAGTTTATACTAATTAAAACACTTTAAATTGTACGATGTAGAAACATTTGGTTGTGTGACAATTATGGTCATTCTCCTACAGAATCCTAAAATGAATAAATTTTATTCTCCTGAAAAATCTAAGTTAAGAACAAAGAAATTCATTCACATTTAAAATCTTAAACACACTAGAAAGGTACCTGAGCAATCCTGTAAGTAAAAACTAGGCTCATCATCATAAAGAGTTAACATAATCGAAAAACAAAATATTTGTATCTGTCTGCCCGCACTATCGTAACCACGTAATATATAGTTCAAATTTACTGAAAATCAGAAAATCCGAAGCACGTAACCAACAGATTGAAAGTAACTTTTATGGAGTTGCTCTAGAGAGAGCGATTAATATTTAATTTCGGCCTACAAACAAGTATATGTCATGTATCCGTGTACAAAATATCCTGGAAGTGTAAGTTTTAAGGTTTCACTTTAAACACATTTGCCTTTTACAGAAATATAAATTCAATCTCGCAGCTTTTGCTACGTGTAACATCACCGCTTCCTTGATAATCAGTGATGGAAGAGGAAAATACATCAAGTGAAGAGTTGGTTCTGGATTCTGTTAGGGGATTTAGCTCAGTTTGTTACGCACAACAGTCGAGGTCCGCTTGCGAACCACGAGCTACTAACAACCTCTGTAACGGAGTATCGCATTACACGAAGAAGCGTGAAACGAGAGATGCAGCGTAAAAGGACTGACGTTAGAGTCAGTCAGAAAACCTCTTTTAGGGTGAAGTTGAGGAAGGCAGAATGAAGGGTGCCTACTTGCTTTCGAATTGCCCCGGTATAGCTCACTATTCTGGATGGATAGATAGATAGATACTCGGAAACCGATAAAGAAAATGGGAACTTCTCACCACTACTAACGTACATTACATTCAAACTGGAAAAAGAGTTTTCTTTTCAAGGAAATCAAAAGCATTGCTTTGGATTACACGTGCTTGATTAGGCGTTTTATGGGCGAGCTTACGAAGAAACACAGCAAGTTATTTTTCAGGTGTAGACTTAAAGACTCGTCTCCTCCTTAAATTACTCTACAAAAATCCCTTGCATCTTTTACAGCGACAGTTTGTTTATTAATTGCATTAAAAGTTTATTTCTCGTCTCAATCACTGACAAATACAAAATTCATTTCCAATATTTAATATTAAGTGTCTCTCTCTAAGAAGTATGTAAAAAATTACCACGTCCATGTTCACCCTTAAAAACAGATTCTGAAAAAATTTGGTACGGATACTGAAGGTGGATCCTCTTCTGTACTGTTTAACAACGACTGACTTCAACAACACCATGGCAGCAGTAATTATATTTAGATAAAAGTAAGAAAATTATTAACGCTTTTATTTTATGTGAAATGTCATGAATATGAATTATGAACACAATCACATATTTTTGAAAAAATTTCTTGACATAGAAACTCAATATTATAATGGAACGAAAACTTTAGAGTGTAAAAAAAACGCACACTACTGGCCATTGTATGAACGAATAAATCCTTAAGATAAATAAATCGTTATTTTATAATTCTTGCTATATTGTCTATTTACAGAGTGAGGCTTCGTTGTATATCATAAGCAGGTAAATAATTTAAATACATACTGGTCCATAAAACCTATAATGAGTTAGGCCAACTTGATGTTTACATGTAGAACGTGTTGAAAGATTCCGGATTGGAAATTTCTTGGTCAGCATGGTACTTATCTGCCTTGATAGAATATTAATCTGTGATTTGTTGTTATTTCAGATGACGTGTGATTCTAGGTGTTAAATTCCTTCGTTTATACATTAAAGTAAAGGAGAGTGTTTCTATGTTACCTGCTTGCAAAATGAACTACATAAAACAAGGAATGCGTATATTATCCTTATTAAAGATGTCAAAAATTCATCTTAAGTAGAAAGGGTTTATGCTGACAGATTTTCCAACCGCCGGATACCTGGAAGTTATTTTAACATAGGCTATCACATGTGTGTTTATTCGCCTGCTTTCCTTGTCATATAATAAATAAAGTGTAAAATTCTTCCATTTTCATTAAGTGCAACACGTATCTTTAAAACTTCAAAGGCCCCTACTACAAAATAGAAACTTTACACTGGTACTCGGCTCAGAAACGGAGTTACGTTACTGCAGTATTAATTACTTGCAGAATTTAACATAAATAAAGTGTTTCTATTCATAATAATGTACAATGACGACGATGCTAAAAAATGCCTACCATTGTGCAGAGGAAAGCTACATTGAAGTTCGTCATTTTTATGTACATGCACGGTCTGGACGATCCAAGAATTTTGCAATACTTATCAATTTCAAAAATATATGGATCAAAATAGAGACGTTTCCGGACCAATACGCAAATAGTTTGAATTTTTTATTTGTTTATGGTCATACAAATATATCCTACAATCTTTGAAAGGCGATACTAAATCACTCATTAAATGGAAGCGGTTTTAAAGGAAACGTATGTCACAAGATATTTGCTTAACTTTTCGTTTTATGCTTTATTTCGTAAGATGTTTATTTTGAAATACCTTCTGAGAGGCGTGTAACATAATAATGTCTTCAAAGGGAGACCAGTGGGCTAATACACGGTCCTTAAACTAGATTAATCATAGATGCAAATTATATCTGCAATTTTTTGGATATTTTTAACAAAACCTGTCTCCTTTGAGGTTATTTTTTTCGATACATATTAACTGCTGTGCATTTAATTCAGTTTTGTTCTCATTTTTAAATGTATTTACATATATTTATTATAATTTGCCTGTTACATGCTCTTTTGTATCATCAGTCACTCTAATAAAGTAATTTAATTTTTATTATTATTATTAACCAGGACGAAAATGTAAGCGATAAAGACGAAGGAAAATGAAATGAGTATAAAGATGGTATTGGTAGCAGAAAACACAGAAAACGACAACACCGATTAAAATGTTAATACAAAGGAAATGGTGATAATGATCTTGTTTCATTTGGGTTCAATTGTATTTCATCAGTCAGCAGGACCGAGTACCAGACAAAAGGCCGTGGCACTGTACAGAACAAACTAGCTTGTTATATTCTCTACTCATCAGTCTGCTATTATATTCAGGCAGAATAACATATTATCACTTTTATATCAGACGTCACTGTGCAGTGTCTGAAATCCCCAACTCCGGTCGGAAAGACGCTTTGAACCTACATCTTTCAACCATAATATTTTGAAAGGAAAATGGCGTTATTTCACAAACAAAGTTGTAAGTGAGGGTAAATGTTCATCGTCGTTTATATTCAGTCTTTGAAGCTTTCTGTGCCGAGATTCTTCAGTTAGTAGCAACTTCCTTTTGAAATATCAAATTCCATACGAGGGTGACTATAAGCAACCTAACCTAAGTTCGACTAGTTACTTTTTGGGGAGTTGGCAAAAGGTATAAACCCTTTAAGGTTTATTTATTTTGACATGTGATATTACACTAGACAGAATACCTTGTTTCAGTTTTAAAAATGTTTAATTTAATCAGAAACATAGCTGAAAAATAACTTTAAAAATGTAGGACCGAACCTGGCAAAGTGTTCCTGTGAACGTAGGGATAAAATTTATCTGAGCACATGACCGGCCGCCGCGGTCAATTACAGTTCGTTTGTCTTCGTTGGATTTAAAATCCGTTTGGGCGCAACCTCGAAGAACAGTCACCTTCATACCGTGAGAACCTGAAATATCGCCTTCATAGGAAGATATGTAGTTGTTACTCTTTGTTCCTATTTAATGTTTCTGTTTTCGTTCCTGTTCTGTCTCACGTCATTCATTCGATTCTATACTTGCTTCTCTTTCTCTCTTTTCAACTGTCCTTTTCCGAACACTCTACCGCCACGTCCTTTTAAGTTCCACTTCAAGTCGTATTTTTATTTTCGCCCTTGAAGCAAGCAAAGTTAAGAGAATGTTATCAGAGATTCGTGGGAACTTGACCAGTAATTCAGAGAACGGAAAAGAAGTGCCCCAGGTTCATGCAAGTTATCAGAACTCCGGTTAAAGGGGACCTTGCAGGTGTTGAAACAAGAGAAGGACTTGTAATCGGAGCTACGCTTACTGCCGTTCCATAAACACACGCGAGAAAAGATGTTGTTGATTGACACGTCCATATCTTCGGGCTATTTGTGTGGGAGAGATTTGTTTGCTTCGCGCTCCGGCTGCTATACCCCCGAGAAGAAATCGGTCGTGTAGAGGGGTGAAGACAGAATTCGCTGCTACTTGCAGTAATCGATAATCCATTCAATCGGTCACATTTACTGATTGAGTTATCCTACGAATCACGCTGAAACCTGGTCACAGGCTGAAGCAGCCCTTTGCACGTAGAACTTCAGAAACAGTAAAAGTATGTAAATGTCGCGAAACACAGTAACAACATTTTCTTATCTTCTCCACCTCTTCACTATCCTCCAACCCATAATCTTCCTTACTTCCTGTACCTTCTCATCTTTCACTGTCTCCTCCACCGTTCCTTTTCCATTTTTTCCATCCTTCTCACACTCACCCTCTTCTTCTTCTTCTTCTTCTTCTTCTTTTCCCAATTATAAGTTCAGGATCTGCAAAGTATGGAACTTCAGCAAGGAAAATATTACCGAGCCTGTACTACAAAAAGGAAAAATTAATTCACTTTTCTCTATATAATTACAATATATTAATACTCTCCTTGCTTATTTCAACGCGTAATAATCACTTCTTTTTTACATTCTCCGAGACTACTCAGCTGATTCTTTCACGTCATGAGCTGACAATATTAGAGCGAGTACATTTTGTTTATTGAACCTAACACATGCAAATGGCTGTCTTCTGTGTACTTGCGCCCGGATGATGGTAGCAGCAAACAACCCCGAAGACAGCCATCTTCACTTGAAATCCATGTTATTTAATACAATATGGAACCTAACGGAAAATCTTCGCGATACAATCCAACAAAGAGTGAAGACGCTGAATCAGCAACATTTTCGTGTCGTGTTTTCAACGAAGATTCAATTTTTTCTTTCCGTTATAAAATCTGTTCTCATATTCCACAGCAAAAAAGAAATATTTACGGACAAGGTAGTCTCATTTCCTTTAAATCTGAAGAAAGGCAAGGTGTTCCGATTTGTATTTTCTCAGTTTTCCTGTCAAAATTGTTAAAAAAAATCTGAGATTTTACGTTCACACGGCGGTGAATGTGTCGACAGAGTTCTTATAAGTTGTGACGCCGTGTGGACTCGTTGGTGGTTAACCCAGAAAACCACGATTAATAGTTAAAAATCACAACACCAATTCTAGGATGGCTCAACTAATAATATTATGGATAGAGGCCGGATGACTGGGGTTCGATTAAAGTGAGAACGATGGATTTCTCTGATCGGAATCAAATCTGTCCAGTGGCGATTATTTATCCGTTGTGGAAAGTGATCGTTGTGTGTGTATGTGTGGACGATCACTCACCTAGTGCCGATGATTGTAAATTTCCTCCCGTGTTCACTAAGGCGCGCAACTGGATTCTATCCCGATCAAGTTACATCCAGGTCTCACCTTCAAACTTTACTTCTCTAAGATCCTTTTTAACATTATCTGGCCAAGACTCCCAAGTGGCCGCTTTCCTTCAGACTTTTCGACCAACAATTTGCATGCACTTCTTGTGTTCTATGTCGACCAACAATTTGTATGTACTTCTTGTGTTCTATATATCTCGTGTACTTCATTTTCCATTACTTTCCAACACTAATATCATCAGGCGAAAAGCACAAATTATGAACCTCCTCACTCTCAAATTTTTCCAGTTCTGTCCTTAAACGTCATTTAAATAAAAGCAACACGCAGTTTCTTAAACGGTCGAGTAATATTAGACGTTTTTTGTCGCTGACTGTTAAACTAATCGCAGTTTAAAGGTTTCTGACGATGGTACTACACATCTTGTTAATTCTTTTTTTTTCTTTTTTCCTTTCTGCGTTTATGCATATTCTAGATAAGAGGCTAGCTCAATTAAAGTATAACCATCCGAAACGTCGTGGTTTTAATAACACCTAGACACTATACTTAGTCCATAAAGCAATTCACACACCAAACACAGATTTGCATAACTCTGCTGCGTCTCTGTTAAAATCTCGAACACTGCCGACTTCAATCAATTCCAATATATCTTCAGTCAAAAAGAAATCCGACGTTTTTCAGTGTTTCGTCTAGTTTTGTTGATTGGTTGCAAATCCCACGCAATAGCCACCAAATTCCCTTCTTGCGCCCACTAACACACCAGATTCATCGACTACACATTAACCATTCCAACCCCTTAGCTCCCTAGTGTCACCTAGCTGAATTCCCTCTATCAAAGAGTTTTTAAATCAGATCCATATTTACTTTGGGACTTCCCCTGAGGGCTCCTGACTCTTTGGCCTCTTTTCCTTCAACCATTCAGTCTCTCTTACCCTGAAGCAAGGACGGAGTGTTTTATCGGAGCACGAAACTGTCAGCTGGAAGGAATCGGAGTTTCGGAATATTATTCCAGCGTTTCTAATAAGAAGAAAAACAGAACAGCTGAGAAAGTTTCAGTTCAGCTGCAAGCCTAATATTTTAGGTGTGCGTTACTCACAGTGTAGTGGCATAATATTATCGTCGTATACGATGAGATTTAAAACTCGATGGTAATAACCGAATATCGAAACGAATGCAAAAAAGTGTTTACTTAAACGTTAATATCGTCATGGAAACATTTCCATTAGACAACGTTTGTTATATGGATTAGATATATTTACCGTTTACAAAATACACTTAACAAATTTTTTGGTTAAAAATAATCTAGATATTACAATATCAAATATCAGTTAAGTATCCCTGTACTTTTTTAAATATGGCCTATTTTGTTATAAATCGATTTTTACACGATAAGCCCTTTTGGTTGCGAAAATTCATAAATTTATAATCGAGATTCATGTAAGATATATGGTATAATAGCCTACTAATGCAAACCCGTATCATTGGACTACTTTCTATGTAGATTCCGATTAGTAAATTTCACTAGTAGAGTAGATTTGCAGATGAAACGTGGCATTCATTTCATGAACTACAGACAATGAACACGTCACAGAATATTCGTAGACAGAGTAAATGACTGGATTTATCAGAAGTTATCAGTGTCGAATACCGGATGACAAAACTGAGAAACTCCAATGGCGTAGGATCTTTTAGGAACGTTTATCGAAATGTCTTACTTTTGCGTGAACCTAACCTAACCTAACCGACTTCGTAAAACCCACCACTGAACAGTATCTGGGTATTTCAAACAATCAACGCAATCACACCAAGTTTATTTGAGATTACATTTTAGTATTATCCTTCCACCTTCGCCTAAATCTCCAAAGTGGTACATAACCATTATAATAATATGAAGTGAAGAGTAAGGATTATGAAGGTCCTTACTATGTAGCTTTCTCTATCCGTCTCTTACATACAATTTCCTAGATTAAAATATTATCTTCAGTGTTAATTCTCAAATAATCTCGGCCAACATATGATCTTCGTTTAAAATGACAAACCTTCAGTTATAGAAAACCGCAGGCAGAATTCAAGTTTTGTGTGATCATTCTATTTAAGGAATAAAAACGAAAAACTGATATGTTCTTCAAGATAACGCGATTATTGTCCCACAAACCCTACAATGCGAAAATTAGGCGAGAGTTGAAATGGTTACCAGGAAGATATTTGCAGCGTCCAACTCATGTCGCTACTAACGACAGAGAATTATGTTTGTTTCTATATTACAGTTACAAGTGACTTTTCAGCAGACTGGGTTTGAAGCAAGTCTGTACAACGACGGTTGGGGCTGTAAAAGGTGCAGAAGTGAGGCTTCGTCCCTTCGCAACATTTTCCTGCCACCTGCTGTTCTGAACCACAACGAGAATGCAAAAACACGTAGCGAAAATTTCTGCTTCTACAATAGTCGATGAATTAATGTTAGCTAATCTATGGTGCAAAGGCTGTTAAATCAACAAAGAACGCATATCCTGTCAAGGTTAGCTTCTTGTGACCAAATAAATTATCCAACCGCGTGTGCTGAATCATATCTGAAATACATGTGAGGATGTACCACGTGCGTAGCAGAACAATTCTTGAAACTCAATTTCCTGCGACTGCAGAGAAAGGCAAGTCATAAAAAGTTGACTTACCACATTTTAAACTAAATGTGATTCTTGTGCAAAAGCGGGTGAGTTACTTGTGCTTTGGCACTAGCATATTAGTACAAGCCAGTAAGCTGACAACCAATTATTCATCACGACTAACAAAAACTTTTATTATTATGGACATCAGTCGTCATTAAATTTGATGTAAACAAAGCGCATTAGGGCCATCTGTAGTTTGACACTTTTCTTGCCAAAAAGACTTATATGACACCAAGTGTTATGGAAGACATCAGTAGCAGAGTTGAGGTTTGTCGTTCATAAAAACAAGCAAGCAACCAAGATTAGCAACGAAGTTGGTTCTGCCTGTAAGAACATTTTACGATTTATCCTGTTAGAAGCCGAGAGACAAGTGCTGGCGCTTGCGCAAAGGACTGGTTTTGGTCGTATGAGATGGACTCGTCCGATTCCCGCGATAGAGGGGTTTCAGCTTCAGTTGGTTTGTAGCTACAGCTGTGTTTAGTTCGGTGAGTCACCGCAGCTGAGGCTGTGCGTCCCCCACTACTAATGAACTCGCCTGACTCGGCTTACACACCGCGCGACCCATTCTCACACTTTTCAACAATAAGCACGAACACTCACGTAATTGTAAATAGCGAAGACAAGCTTCAATGCAGCCCATCTTCAGCCACTCTTATTCAGTATGGCGGAGACCACAGACAGATCGTGAATAAAAACATTAATAACTTCGTGATGATTAGATACAGAATATCTGGCTCTGCAAAAGAATAAAATGGAATAACAAAAAATAATGACTCTGATGTACCTATTAAATATTTGTTTTGTATTTATCTCTATTTAAAACACAACTTTATTTCAGAAAATCAGACTTATACGGATACA